ATTATTCCAAAGTAAAATTACATACTTAAAAAAAGTTATGATTGTAGACACGGTATAATTAATATATCATTATTCATTAATTTTATCGATATATCAGTGATAAAATCAAAATTTTGAAATATACTAAAATTAAAGGCGGTGCCTCCGCTCATAATCGTACTCACTGGTTTATCATTGACTTCAATTTTAATTTTAAACACATGGCAGCGAAACTCGGGTCGTGTGTATGATTAATCTTAAGTTGAAGCTGATAAATAAGACGAGCTGTTTTAGTTAGTATTCGTATTTTTTAATAATTGTTCGTATGCGGTTTGGAGGTAAATCGGTCTCGTTGTGTGTGGAAGGCGAAAACGTGATTTCGTAGATGGAGTAAGAGTGCCTAGCCCTGTCGGCGAACCAGTGGACGATGTCGGAATGTCGTAAGACATAAATCTCGAACGAAATGGAGCTAAAGACCGGTAACGAACGCATTGAAAACAAAATACTCAATGGTTGAGTGTGCAATGTCGGGGAATCGTTGCAGAGCGGTGGACGTGGTGCGTCGAGAGAGAGTTTGAAATGTTGTGAGTTGTGGCTATACTACAATAGGGGAGGAGAAAAGCAAAAGAGTGTCGTGTCGGACAAGTCGGGCGGTGGAACTGGTGAATCCAACCGATGGAGGGAGAGTCCGGAGGGAGTATTGTGTAGGTGGCCTGTAACACATCAATTATTTCAGTGACCTACTCAATGATGAGGTGTACTTGAAATATACTAAACTATACAGCATTACGGTAACCTACTTGTCAGCTTTTTTTTAATTACTTATAAATCTTATCAAGTTTTGTGCGAAATAGCTGAATTGCAATTTGAATACCAATCGTACTGTTCTCTTATCCTTCGACTTCTAATGAAATATATTATCACAAGCACACGTGTAACATTTTCTTTTCTCCACATTTAGGTAAGTTGATCCATCTTCCAATAAGACATTTTTTAATTATTTTGTCTTCTCTTTGCAATTAAAATTAATGATATACGAGTACAGTATTTCTTGCAGTGGGGTTTTAGATGTTGATTAAATAATTTACAAAATATTATTCCACACATTTATAATTACGATACAATATGTTATGCGTTTTTGATATCGAGCCAAAAAAAAAAAAAACAACAAAATATTATCTATTCTTAGACAATAATTTTAATGAATAATTGATGTGAATAGCATTATGATTGGTTTAATCTAACGTACATTGTTATTTAATAACGTTTATGTTTATTTTGTAAACTGTACTGAATAATATTGTTATAATATTCTTAGTATTTACATTATTGATATAGGTTTATGAAATATAAATCTGCTTCTAGTACAAAATGCAAGGAGCAGGTAGGTGGAACTTTTTTTCGACTAACTTATCAGTTGTTTTGGAATACTAACTTGGTATTTAATAATACATATAATATCTCATTTGTATTCTGATGAGCTGATAAAGTATTGTTTTATAGTCGTATTCCATGTATATAAAACATTAATATTTTTTATTATAATATTTTAAGTTCTTTACAAAATAAATAATAATATTTCGTTTTAAGACCACACATAACATTTTATTTTTCAACTCACCATCTAGTAGATAAACAACGAGTTATATGGAACATAAAAATGGAAACAAAAATCAAGTATACATATCGTACATTTTAGAATAAGATATATAAATTTAAAATAAACCTTAAAAATAATATGAACGCTGAAAAAATCTTAGACCCATTTTCAAACGAAAATCATTTTATCCTTTGCGTGAGAAAGGAAATTAAAAAAACGTAATAAAAATATTTAAAACAAAAAGAATTTACCAGTCATTGCTCGAAAAATGCAAATGCTACATCGTAGCCCCTTAGCTTATTGTTTTTTTTTTTGTTTAATTACTGCCAATTAGTCGTTTCACCATAGTGCTGGCACGTGGTGTGTTAAGCTTTGTAATTATTATGACGATGGCTGCGTCCCATGGAGGAAAACAATGCGACCCCATGCAAGAGATTTTTTTGATTAATTTAACGGTGTATTAAAGCAAATAAATAATATCAACCATCAGATATTTGTTATTTATATCAGACATTTATTATTAGTGAGTATTTTCTTATTTTACGAATTATTGTAAAAATAATAGGTATCAACGTACTATGTTGTATTATAGATTTTGTTTTAAGTATATACATGTATATGATATAATATATATAAACGTCCATGACGACCGTTAGACACAATGCATTTATATTATCTAAATGCATGTTGGATATACACAAAGCATACCATTTTTTATATCTTAGTCTTATTTACTTCGAACAAAGAAAATATTCTATACAAATAAAGATACGGATAACGGAGTAATATAATGTAATTTATTACTATTAGTTTATTTTTAATTCGTCGACGTCATCAAACCTATTGGGACTATTTATGCGTTGCGCGTGAATACCTTTAATTGACAGAAATGTCCAATATTTTGAGAAGTATTTTTGTCTACAGAATATTTTATAAATTGTATTTAAGGTACTGAATCAATAAATTTTCCATTAGTGTTTCTTTATAATTTTCGTTAAGTTAAGTCTCGGTTAAATTATTTCATGGAGTATTCCAACAAATATGTTCGTAATTAAAATATGTACTGCAAGATATGGGGAGAGAAGTAAAATTAGAGAGAGGGAGATATAGATGTATTTTGCATTAGTGTAAAAAGGTAAAAAGTATTATTTGGTAAAAAACAAAGTAGCGTTACAGTATTGCTTATATAAAGTTATATTTATTATTGAAACAATGTCGCTATAATTCTTTGCAAGCATAATGGTTACACAGCTGCCATATCAGTGCCAAATCATTCTGGTGACGATTACTACAACAGTGATTCGTAAAAAAGAAATATTATCACATATTATTACATTAAAGTTACAGCAAGTTTAGAGTGACATTACTGCAATATTTCCTGTCGACCTGCTATAAATAACTTGAAAATAGCTGCTTGTATGTTAAACTATTTTCGTAAATTTATGGGCAAGCAATATATTATGCATTTTTATTTTTTATTATACTGCAGCTGAATAACTTTATTTCTATATGACGGATACTATAAACTACATATTATTATGTATTATTTAAGGTATATTTTATATTTAATAGTTTATAATTTTGCTGAACTCTCGCATAATTTAGACGAAACTATTTATTACGATAAAAGTATTATGTACCTACTATATCTGATATTTTCCATAACGATATTATTTAGACAGTGTACGACGTTTATAGTGCAGTGGTACTTGAACAACGTTTATATTGATTCTAACTATTATTCAATCACAAAACTAAAAATATCTAAAAATTCACACACTATTTGCAGTGTAATGAATACTTGCACGATAAATATGTACATGAAGAACAATGCACACGCAGGAGTTGAGTTAAATTACAATATTGTTTATTTTTTTAACAATGTTTATAATATTTAAAGCCGACATTTGTATGGGTATTCATGTGTTCATTGGTCGGTTAAAAAATAGTGGTTTAATGATACAAGGTTAGATTAGGTTAGGTTGGTAACAGTATGGCCTGTATTGAACGGATCACCACTTACGAGGAAACTTGTAGTATTAATAGTAATTTCCGATGTACCATGATAGCCGTCAAGTTCTGAGCACCTTCAAGCTACTCACGCTCACTCACACCCATGTACAGCACATTATTAAATGTGTGTTGCATTTAAAATAAACAATTAATATTTTTGAACTCAGCTGTTGAAATTATTGTCTGAAAAACACCACCATCTGGATCTAGGACAGAGCGCACGTAACATGCCAATACCCAGAATTTGCTCATATTATTGAACATCAGCTAGTACCTACTTTTGTAAATACAAGATTTTATGTCAACTATTATAAGATTCTTAGACAAGTTACATTAGATAATTAATTTAGTATGTTACAAAAAAAAACTAACGATCTATTAATCGACAATGGCATTTCTAACTCGAGCAAAAATCAAATCCCGGGAAAATGGATCGATAGAGCCTACGCGCCATTTCATAATGAAGTAGGTTTTTTATTTATTTTCTTTTTGCTTTCAAACCGTGCTGAAAATGCCCCCAATAATGAGAATGCTTTTGACATTGTCTGATTGAATTCCATTTAAACGGAGAAGGTATGGTGAGACAATTGACGATGGATGCTTGAAATTCAATTACTTCGTTATTATGATTTACAAGTGAGAATAATACTAACTAGAAAATATTCCTGTACATATAAAATAATGATTGTGATTAAAATACAAAACATTTTAATTTTAATTTTTTTTTTTCATGTATAAACACACTAATTTGTTCATAAAAATTAACAATTGCATCCCTTTTTGTTATAAACGGTATTGTTTATTAGTTTATAATGTATATATGTAATTGATTAATATTAAAATATAATGTATTGATAAATAATATGATGCAATGCATTCGTTAGGTTAGGCATTTAATGTGTACATTGAATGGTCAAAAACATCATTAATTTTTGAAAAGTTCTGTAGAATAATATTTAATAGGTTGTACAATTGCATGTATAAAAATCTTGTATAACAATTTTATTGAAGATTCTTTGTAAATAGTAATTAAATACTATACACAAGTAATTAAGATCATTAATGTTATGGTATTAGGAAATGCACATCTTTAGCCAAATTATTTTTTTTTTAAGTTTAAACCAAATTAAAATTATACTTTACTTTTGGTTTCAGATATTTGCGTTTAGTCATTAGATAGGTATAGGTTGAAAAAAATTATTAGTAATGAATTGAAAGACAACCAAAATATATAAATGTATTACTCGCACCTTATTATATCGATATTTTAATACTTATGATTTACTTATGTAATTCAGATTTTATCAAAAATCGTTATGTATTTTTAAATGTTTATTGATACAACTATTATACATAATTATATACTGATAGAAAAATATTCAAAAATAAATTTCTTCATTTTTTTCAGAAAAACGAGAAATATCTAGTCCAAAAAGTAAAAATGGACAACCAGGAGGATCTGGTAACTCGGAATGGCAGCAACTATGGTATTCAAGCGTTGATGAATTTCAAAAGCTCACGGAGCCACTTTTGGACAACACCACTGAAACCAACCTCACTGTGCCATTAGGAAGCACAGCTTATCTTCATTGCCGTGTCAGAAACTTAGGCGAGCGAACGGTAAGAATATAATATTGATTTCAACAAAATTCACACAAGTACATGAGTTAACTTGACATTCAATGATAAATCGTTGTGAGGCATATTTATATTATTGGTGATACTAAGGAGAGGAATAGCATAAATAGCACTCATTATTGCTGCATATTAGCACCTATTTAGCCATATTAGCTAATTGCATAGTACGAGTATATTTATATAATATTACAGTCGCTCGGACCGTTTTGTTTCATTTTCACAATACTACAATAATAGGATTGCTATCGTAATTATTCAATTAGTGCAATTAACTAAATTGTCAACAATTAGTTGTGCATCTTATGAGAGATCATTTTCAACAAAGCACCGAATCAAAACTTTGACATTAATGTCGCAAGAGCTTGGATCAATAATCTATTGTCTTTCATTGGCTTACTTCGTGATTAAACTTATTATTCATAAACATTATTCGGGAGTAATAATTGATCAATATGCTCCTCGTTTTTTATAACAACATATTATGTTTCTATTAGAAAAATGAATAAAAACAGTATTTATTAGTCACTTAAAATAATATTTAAATATTGTTACACGGTACACTTGTCATTATTTTTGACTTCAATCGCCCCCCAGTAATTTAACACTAATCAATAAAAAACTTTGATTTTATGAAAATCTTTCACAGAGTAATATTAATTTAATCAGTTGATAAACTATAGTCATAAATTATTTTGTATCATATTTTTAGAATATTGGTTGAATTTACTCTTTATTAAGCTATGTTGGTAGACTGTGTAAATTGTACACATTTTTTTAATATAAATTTTTTTGATCACTTGCGTTTGGTTGAAAAATGTATGTGATAAAAAAGTTTCAACAGTTTCTATGAAACTAAAAATGCACAGATGGTACTTTGAAACTGGCCATTATTGGAATTTCCCAATAGGTTAAAAATAAATTAAGAACAACAAATTACTGTAGAATTTACAGCATGTTTGCAGTAGTTTTTGATACGTTTCTATAAATGTTGAAATAAAAACCATTAAAGACTTCAGATTTTTACTTATATATTTTCACATTTATTTGTATTTTTGTAAAAATAACATATTTAGAAATTATAGGATAACTATTTATATTTAACAGACTACAGTAATATTATGTATACAACTCCAAGTAAAGGGTCAAAAAGTGTATAGAATTTGGTAAGACGAGATTTATAGCAAATAACAAACACTTTTCAGCACCACGCTACTCAATATTTTTCCTCCTCGAGGAAAATTTACGAATATAAAATATTTTTTGTGTCAATTCGTTATCATGACAACAAAAATATTACTTTAATGAAAGTAATGAATAATTAGTTATCTTAGGTGGTTACGTATTTACATAGATGGCGCCACAAACCTATAATTATTTTCGTAATTTCTATTTAATTAATTATTTATTATAATAATTGTCTGATGAAATGGTTTCTCATTTACACACCGGATACTTGCATTTAAAATAAACATCTAATCGATTTGGTCGAATTTCAGATATAGCTGTCCAAATATATAACCATCCATACATATATTTTACACATTTAGGGGCTGAATCAAAAATCTGTTCTTAGCTGACGTGTTCTACCGATAAACTACCTACCTGCCAAATTTAATTTAATTGATTATTAATTTATGTAGGGTTATAACTTGAGATAAATAATTAATAGCCTAGCTTTTCCAAGTTTCACTAGCCTATCCACCTATTATTTCAATTGAAACAAAGAGATCTTATAATTCCAACAATTTTGTTTCTTATATTTCGAATGTTGCTATTTCATAGCTAATTGTTATATTTAATTAAATATTAATAATAGTTGAAGTTTTCAATATTTAAACTATAGTGTTTTAAAAATTATTTTCTTTTTTATAACTCAATAAGTGATGATCGTGAAACTCTTCCACAAAATAATATATATTTTTACAATGTATATTTTAGGTAGTTAATTTTCATTTGACGCTGCACAACATTTGAGGTGGACTACGGACTACAATAATAAAAAATAGCATTATTAATTTATATAGGTACTAGTGACTAGTGAGACAGTGCATAATAATATGAGAAAATTAAAAGTATTGAATCGCAAAAATATAAAACAGAATACATTAAATTATGTTCAGGTAAATTAATAAAATAGCCAAGAAACTATAATGGATTATCAATCTTAATTAAAAAGTAAGGGATACAGACATTATTAAAAAAAAATAGTACTATATACTATTTTACATCATAAACAAAACATAATTACTCACTTAATTGTTCGATCATAAGAAAATTTAAATTATAAATTAATAAACATGTTTTTCTAAGAATGTTTTTTATGTCAATTATTGTGTACAGACACCCGCGTCCCTACTCAACTCTTTAGTGTGCACATTTTCGAAATTATATTTATTTAAAAATTGACATGCTTTGTTAATGATAGTGTTGAAAATAAAAAAAAACATTTGTTATGCTACTTAACGTACGATCATTCATACTATTTCACTTAATAATTTTATTATTTGTGGTCTAGAAAATACCTTTAAAACCTACAAATTTGGGTGACTGACGTTGTCAAAATAATAATGTATTTCGTTTTAATCGAAGTGCATAATAATAATATAATTCTTACTTTTATATTATTCCTACTTCAACGAGATAAAAACCAAGGTTCCGAGATACTGGTATTTTTGAGAAATAATTCATAATGTGCATCAATCACTCTGTGGAAAATACAAAGAGTTGCATTAGTTAAACTTATGTACACAATTTCTGCATGAGCTTGTCAAGTGCTATTTGTGAGTAGTGGACCATAAAACGCACTATAATGGTAACAAACTCAACAACTATTCGCTTACAGTTAAATTCAAATCAATAAAGTTACGTTTGATTCTGCGAATTTCAAAATTAATTTATCAATCCTCTTCGAACCGTTGTGGAAAAAATACCGAAGACATCGTTTCTTTATAATAATTAGAAAATAAATAAACTGATAAAGTTCCATTCATTTTTAATAATAATTCATTTTTTTATACATTTATCAGATAATCTTTTTTTTAAATTATCAATTTCAATTTTTATCGAATATCAATCGAATTTATCAATTTTATTTGTTTGAAAGGAATACTGTATTGACATTTTAATAATTATGATTATTATTAATTCAAAATAGGTAATACAAATTAGGTACATAATTTTAATCCAATTTAATTAACAATTATTGTACAATACCTATTTTATCTGTCACTTAAACAATTAGTATAAAATAATTAAAAATACTAACTAAAACATATAAAACATATAAAACATATTAACTAAAACAAAAAAATCAAAATTAAATGTAATACACAGTGCTGTTAAATAATTGAATCTATTTAAGTGAATACTTAGTATAAATTATAAGATTAGTCTACAAGTAATATTATATTATAATATGTTACCGCCAATATGATAAGTTTAGACATTATTGAATATGGCTAGTCAGTCTAATAATAAAATGTCTATGTACGTTAGTCTTTAATCATTGAGAACATAAAATATATTTATAACTTTGACTTGATAAATCGAACAATGTTGTACTTTGACAGATTGACATGGCATTTTCAAATGTCCAATCGTCACGCCGACAGTGTTTGTTGTTGAGTATCAAGTTTAGATTATTAGGTTTTAGAAAACCAACGAGTGTCCATTTACTGCTGGGTCAACAGTATTATGGAATCACAAGGATTTCAACGAATCTACAACAAAATGAAATGCAAATCTAATAAATGTACTCGTCGTTCAGGTAAGCGTCTTTGCACTTCGAAATCACATACCGCATACCTTAAGATAATTAAATTATGTCCAAATAAATTATATTCTAATCATATAATTATAATTACATAATTTTTCAAACATTACGATTTACGGTAATACATTTCTAATGGTGCGCAATTAACTACCATCTTCTGATCATAATTGTATTTATTATTTTTTGCCAAAAGTAATTAATAAATTATCACATAGCTTCATTATAATTCTGCATCTTGCTGCATGGGTCTTATTCAATAAAAATGAAGGCTTTCAATCAAAAAAATTGTTATTTTCATTAAGTTTATGTCTGCCTTAGTTTTGTAGCATTCACTAAGATGATTAGTCAATTGTATCAATAACTATGAACAATTATCATATTATACTAGGTAGCCATTTTCAATAATGCCTAAATATCATCATAGAGTACTGACGATTATATATTTGATATTATTATACTTTAACTATGACTATTGTATATTCTGATACGGTAAGTCTAAAATATATACAATAATTGTACATATTATCATATTATGATTTAAACTTTTTAAAAATAACGCTTAGTAGGATAACGTTAAAACTTAGATTCTTAATCCAAAAGACCAAAACCAATTGGTTTTAAGACTAAATTCAAAGTCAGTGACTAACTTATTATGTGAATGTTTGTGTGAGAAGTTATCTAAATAATATATCATATAACGTCCATAAATCATTTGATATTTAGAATGTTTCTAATAATAAATGATTTCAAACAGTGACGTTTAGTGTAAGTAAACAACAGGAATAAAGCAATAAAAACAGGGAATAAATTATCATAACCATGTATATTTAATTACAAGAAATATAATATTATTATCTTCATAACTCAAAAACTGTATAATTTTCATTAAATCGTTTAATCTGTGATAATAATACAGGATTATAAAATTAAGATATAAGAACACAGTGTTTTTGTACTAATTTAATGTGTACTAAAAAGTGAATAGGCAATCATTAAATATTGTATTAAATTATGTATAAATATTATTCTTGAAATTCATTATTATTTTTAGTGAATATATTTTTTTTAAATAATAGTACCTACTGCTATAACTATACCTTAATATAATATTGTTATACATAATATTTTACTCGTCTACAAAACATTACAAGTATCAATGCTTGCGATTGTTTCCGTATTCAAAAATAAAATACAAGATAATTCATAATGT